ATAAATATACATGTAGTCCTGTACATGTTACATGTATAGTGATATAGGTTTAACAAAGAGTTATGAACTTTACAATTACCCGGTAGATGAAAAGATAAGATCATATGAATATCCAGGTGATCACAAAATATGTATAAAAATATGTTAATAAGTCAGTGAATGAAATGTCTGGTTGGTTTTATACCATATTTATTTTGTGTATGTGATTTTTTTAAAATCAACACAGCTTACATATAAGTTTACGTACATGTACACCACAATTGAAACCAACACCGTATCATACAACTTGTCTCTGTTCACAATCTGTAAAAATTACGAAGTTCAATCTACAGTTTCACTGTCAATAAAGTTCCCGGTGAATATGATTTCCTGCTCGATTGTGTTTTTGAAAACATGGCGATTTCCTAGTGTTTCCAAAGTCCCTTACAACAAACAAAGTTATGTACACACTCAATTTTCCCACTGAAGCACATTTCCAATGAATAAATATTAATTTATTTTCAGACAATAGTTACGGGATGTCTCGACGTCGTTGACAATGCATACTCGTAACAATCTCACTTGCACTGTGTACATTTTACCACTAGATCAAGTACTTTTTTGGATTAGTGCTGCTCACACTAACCGCTAGCACAAACTTATTTTAACACATATACATACATACATGAAATAGCGTGACAAAGTCGCTCATTTCATTACAACAATCAAGCTTTTCCAAACGTCCAGTCCAGGGGTTTTTCTAGAAAAAAAATGCAAGAGGGAGCACTGTAATTCAGTGGCATCACCAAGTGGGAGAGATATGGTTCTCTCTACCAGGGTGTGGAGTTTTTGATAATTCTAAGTTAAAATGGAGCATTCTATGGCTTCCTTGGGGCCAAAATTACTATCACACAGGTCACAGATGAAGACTGTGGCCACATGTGATCCCTGGTCAATTTTATGGTTGCCAGAGGATCTGCTCCCCAGGGTAAGGGGCGCATGGCCAAAGCATGAGGGCGCTGCGTCCCTGTTTCATGTTTAAACAAATCCCTTCATTCCATTCTATAATGCCATTGGATTGAAATAAGTTTGCTTGTTCATCACATTGAACTCACATGTTCATATCACCATACATAGGTATCTGAATTGTATGCCCTTATTTTATACATCCTTAGTTTAACTTATGTGACAGATTTCTGTCTTCTGTATTTTGTAGATAAGTTCTATCACCAGTCTGAGTAATGTACGAGACCAGTGTCTGCAATTAATGAGTTCGGTAAAACATGTGAAGTGTTTGTTGTCATTGTTGACACACAATGTACAGCCGTCTACTCTCACTGCACTATGTACAATATGTCATGTATTGATGACACAACAGAGATTATTTGTACATAAATCAAGGTAAACAAAAACAAATTTTTATTTTGCACTTGATATCAAACATTGTTACTAGCTGCTTTAATTTCACTGAAGACGTTCATGAATTTCAGGGAAAAAAAAGTCACTGATTTTTATTGCTGTTCTAGTGGGTCATAGTGAATTTAACTATGGTCTTAGGGAGTCACAGCGGCTTTCACTGGGATGCTTTTGTAGTAGTCTAACTTTGTTTTGTGTACTTGCAGATTACTCTCCACGTTGGCATTCAATAAGGCTTTTTTGCGTCATCTTTGGTACTGTGCAATATCTGTGTCTACCAGGGCAGTTACAGGGTAAGTATACATTTACAACAATTGTTTTATTGGTCCTGGAGCAATGATATTTGCTAAACTGAATTGTATTCCATAATCTCCAACAGGAATAATTTTATTTCTCATTGATGAAGAGAAAAATCAAGGTAGACTGGTATCAATGCATTTTTTTCCTTTCAAGTAGTTGAATCACTAATGACAGTGTAGGAAATTTGTCCAGATTACATACCAGACATCAGGGCTGGTAACTTTCAAAAGTTACAAGCCCTGCTAAAATGTTACCAGTCCCGCACATTTTTTTTCAATTATTTTCGCACACACACACACACACACAAATAAACACAAGTTGTATG